ATAGGAGAGAGTGCTCTCTGGTTACTGCGCTCACTCAAATCCACACATTCCTGCAGGGTTTAAGGAGAGCCAGGTCACCCCTGTGGACTCTGCTCCCCAGCCCACTGCCTCAGCCCGGGGACATTGCTCAGGGTACAGCTGGGACATCGAAGGGATTTGGGGGTCCTTGAGGAGGGGTGTGGGTGTCTGGGGTGGCCTGGAAATCAGAAGGCACTTGACAGCCTTTGCCTTGTGACTTTTGCACACCTGCAGTGAATGGCTGTCTCTTTGGGGATGAGGTGAATGTTCTGAGATGTGAGAGAAGACTTAGTGAAGCACTCACATCTAACAGACCCCGACAACTTGTTCATTACTTGGGAATATGCCACGTTTTATCAAGGTATTTTAAGAATGTCTATACACCCAAACCAAATTGGAGCATTGACCTTCTAAAACACTGACAATTTATTTAGAACCTGGAGCAAATCAGCCATTAAATGTCTCAAAGCTAAACATTATCTGAGACGATTTCCTTAACAGTTCAACAGGGACCTTTCCCTTACTGCATTCCTCCATCTTCCTAATTTGATTAGAAAAGAGTTCGACTATTTTTATGATCTGCACTCAAAGCCCTAACGATTCCTCAGAGAGTAGGAGGAACTGAAAAAAAGAAACAATTGAGACGATTGCCAAGCTGCCCTCCCCGGGGAGTGAAGTCGAAGTGAAGAGATGGATTGTGCTGGGTCGAGATCAACGTAGGCAGAAACTGCAGAGTCATGTGCATGATGGAATATCTCAGATGGAAAATGCTACTGACCCATTCTTTCCCTCTTGAGCATGTAGAATATTTGGAGAACATTTCAGTCTTTTGTTTATTTGTTCTACACGTCGTTTGGAGGCGAGTCGCCAAGGCTCCGTTTGCTGGGAATAGCTTTGAAACTGAGGCCAAAAATCGAGGCGAGTCAGGGAGGCCTAGTCTCAGTGTTGGTACATGTATACATGTGAATTATTTACTTGTCGTCCAGCAGGAAATGAGGAACGATAACAAGCTTGGGAAAGAAAAGCAGAAAACAAACAGATGCTATCTCAACCCCTCTTTCTCCTTCTCTTTAATCTGAGGCAGTCGGCCGTGTCCGACCTCAGACCAACGACAGAGAACCTGTCCCTAAAACAGCGGCAGGAGGTGGAACAATCATTATGTTAGTTCATGACTGTTAATCTAAAAGATGGTGAACAAATTAAAAGGGGAAGTGTGTCAATTGTACTCATCAAAGTCTGCCTACAGGTGTTGCATATGTGAAGAAAAGTGTAGGCTACAATAAACCCACCAGCTGGGCCAAAGACTACGAATAAACTATTTTGTTTCCATTAAGTAAAACCAGATCTGACCACCAGGTTACTGTGTCGTCACTACCTGAGCCGGACCTTGTGATGATCTCCTGACCCAATTTCTGACTCTCCGTCTCCCCCTGACCTCGGCCCGACACCCCCTCTCATCCCTAACCTTTCAATCCCATCAGCCTCACCATTGCTCAATCACCTGTGACCAGGCCTGGGTGGGTGACCTTTGACCCGAGAAGGTCACGATTAGAGCTGAGAATCAGAGCAGCAGAATTGGGGACCAGGCAGAGAGGAGATGGCCCTGGACCGAGAGCTTCGACCCAGCGAGGCTGAACTCTGGAAGAGTCAGGTCGCCACACCCAATACGTCTAGAAAAGAGAAGAGCTGCGTATCAAAGGCTCTGGTCATTAGCGCAGGAGGTTGGGGGGGGATTTTTATTTCCACCAGGGTGTAGGGATCATGGAGGTGGGAGAAGGCAGCAAGAAATGTTGGCAGGCATTTTAATTAGCTTGATCTCGCCAGACAAGCGATAGGAGGCAGCAGGCAGAGATGGTGACTATGGGAACACAGAGCACAAGAGAGGAGGACAGGAAACAAAAGAGAGGGAATCACGGAGAAAGAGAGAGGGATAAAGTGGGGGTGAGGGTCGCACGCCCAGGGGCTACTCTAACTGTGCCAGATCTAAATATGCAGCACCAAATAAAACATCCTCTCATGAGATCATGGGTGGCTGTGACTGGTTAGGGGATGCAACAAATACACACAAACCAAATCGCTCCCAGCCATCCTATCTTGTTAAATTTTGGCGATCTCTATATAAAACTTGGAATTTGGAGGAATGTACTTAAAAAGCCATCCTGTAAATGAGGAGGCAACAGTTCCCATGCTGGGATAAATTCTTTAAAATGTATCTCAGTGGTGTTCAGTACATTTCACACCACTCAGGAGTGCACACAAAAAGGAGAGCCTATTAGAGGTCATTCCTCCTCCTCCTCCTCCTCCATGTTCATTGCCTCCTCCACATCCGTCTGCTTCCTTTCTGTCTCCTCCTTCAACTCCTTCCCACTGGCTCTTATTTGTTTGGACAACAACATACACAGGAGACTTGCATCAAACATACTTAGCTGTGGGAGTAGCTGCAAGTTGTACAAGAGCCAAGAGGCAGCAGCAAAAAAGGGTGGAGGTCATTCATCCACCCAACACCCTGCTACTGTAGCTCTCCTGCTCTGCTGTTTGGCACTGAATGAGAATGAGGGCAGGAACAGAGCAAAAACAAGCTGGCTGCGAAATGGAAAAAAACATGTTTGCATTCGTGATAACAACGATAAAACACAATGTGTAGCCACAAAGCAATTAAGCAATCACGTCACATAAGAACAATAGCAATGTTTATTTTTTTTATATATATATCCTTGTTCTGAGTTTTAAAGGGGACCTATCATGCAAAATGCACTTTTGTACGTCTTTCATACATGAATATGTGTCCCCGGTGTTCCAGGGAACTCACCAAGTGTCAGAAAACACAACCCTCTCTCTTTTCCTCCATACCCATATCTCTAAAAACGGGGCTGCAACGGATCTGATACAGACTGATCCAGATTTGAACATTTCTCTGATGTCAGGACGGAGGAGCTCCGCCTATATGGCCAACTCTCCACCTATCAGGGGAATGAGAGGTTGCCGTGGCATGGTAACAGCATGGTAACATGACGCTCGTAACTCGGCCCCCTCCTTTGCAGGGGGGCGTGGTCAGCTGCAGCGCATGCAAAGACAGGGTGGAGAGCAAAATAGAGCGAAATGAGGCATGGCTAAAATGCATGATCTGTTTGGTATTTTGAAAAAGAAAACGTATAAATATACCTTATATAGGTATGGTCCTACAATATATTATTCAAATATAGCATGATAGGTCCACTTTAAGTTCTGCAGTGGACATTCCTCACCATCACCCGAAAAATTGGACGCTCTCCAAGCTTTTCTTTTGCGGTGCATCAAGTGAACGTAAATACAACCGAGACCTTTTAAGACACTCAGGTGGAATTATAAATTGAAAAAAAACATCCTTTTAAATTGGCTGTTGTTGACCGTCTGAGTGCTGATGGCTGAGTTTATCCTAACATGGTGATCATGTTTCTTTCAATGTGAAAGTGTGGTTACCTGAACCGATGATTGCTTAGCTGGCGAAATGTTTTTGGCTTCAGCGTTACAGGCACAGTGGGACTGCAGGAGCTGTAGCACAGATTATGGGACTATGAGAGCATAAAGGGCCCAAACACAGAACTGAGTGACCTAAATTAAAAGTTGGTAAAAGAGTGTGTGAACGTGTGTGTTTGGTCGTGCTCTTGTATTTGAACATTGGCAGAGTGCCACGTTATCAAGGCTTCATCTTACTGCTCATGCGACAGTGCCAAGTTTTGTCCTCGGCTTGCCCACCCAGGATGGCCCAGTAATGGCCCTGCCTAATCAGGTGCTGTGGACACACACGCACACACACACACACGCACATGCACACGCACACACACGCACACACATACAGTACACACACACATAAAACAAAACTGGCCAGCTCTGGTTTTCTTTCTGATGTTATGAGTGTTATAAAAAGAGGCTTTCTTTGGGAGTTAATCGTTTTTTGACAAAGCAAACGCAACTCAAGGTCTTCTTACTATCTTTTTAGGGAACAGAGTTCATCCATCCATACAAAATCCATCCATTGACGACACACTGTTGTCATGGAGATGCATCTGATGAAATTGGGAGCTCAGTACCTGTTATGATTGCATCCAAAGCACTTTCAGGAACTCTTTGTTGGACTCAAATTGCAGCTTTGATATGAAACAACAATTTTAATAACCAATGCTAACTCAAGGTCCACTTAATCGATATTATCTGGAACTTGTAGATTATGTTTTCATATACATGGCATGCATGCAACTGCTATTTCTCTCTCTAGTAAGCATGTCAATAAGAAGAGAGAAAGAGCAGTAATGTTCGGCATTAATTAATCAAATGTTCTAATATGTTAATCGTAGTAAACTGCCATGACTAGACATGTGTTATTCTTCCTGGACACCAAAACTGAAATCCTTGCAGATCGTAAAGCATTACATTTTTCACTCAAGATCTACAAACCCCAAATGAGTGTATTTTGGTTTTGTGTTTGTTTGTGTATTGTCAAATGGATTGTGTGAGCTTGTGTGTATTTGTATTTGTGGGGAGGGGAGGGGAGGTACTAAACTCAATGTCGGCAATAAGGGGCACATTCCTAAGTTGATTTAGTGGGCATTAAGATGAAGAGGAATGTGTCAAAGCTGTAGAGGCTTTAGTCCACTGTGGGGTAAAGTGGCTGGGAGGAGCTCTGACGGCTCAGACTGACGGATGACTGACACTTGACTTAATGTGAGGACGCTGAAGAGCAAATAGTGGAGGGAAGCCGGGATGGAGAGGAGGTACCTGGAGGAAGAGGACAGTTAGTACTTTGGAGAAAGACAATGGAGGCTAATTGAGATATGACGGTTAACAGACGTAGGGTGTTAGATGAGCTAAATGAGAGAGAAGTAAGTCTAGTCAGGAGAGGAGGAGAGGTTGCCAGGAGTTGGGATGAGGAAGCGGAAACAAGTGAAGAGTCACATTTACACAAGGAGGGGCCGATTAAGGGATAATAACGACTCAAATTGAGAGGATTTCAGAAGCTAATCTTTATTTGCCCAAGATGGTTGATAGTTGAAAGAAAGACATAAAGAGAGAGAATATATAAATATTCTTTTCATAAGGTCCCATTGTGTACAACATTGGTCACTGGGTCAGTTGTGCATCTTTGACAGATAACATTAGATCAAAGGAAAGCAACACAAATACATATTTTTTTACATATTTCTTTTATATAATTATATCATATAAGTAATGTCTTAAAAAGTGCTAAATCAAACATCAGTATTGAACCAACATTACAAACTCTTAAGTGGTGCAAAAGCTGTCATCTAGCAATTCACTGTAACATAAAACAAAAACAGCGTAAGAAAGCAACAGGAAAGACGTGTGTGTGTGTGTGTGTGTGTGTCTGTTTTGAGGATTTACCTAGTCCTGAGACAGTGCAAGCATATAGAGAACAGTTGTGTGTTTCATGTCAGGTTGTTTGTGTTTTTGTGGACCGGACTGATAACATGTACTGCTCTTTTGGAATCCCACAGCTCATAGATCAGACTGAGAACAGAAAGGATTTTCTGAGAAAAAGCTAACTGTTATTTGGCTGACATAATATTAAAATCTTAACTCAACATATCACTGCCTTTAATAAATCCCCCAACTGATAATAGCAGTAAAAGCACACATAAGAAGCACTAAAAATGAAACAGACACTTTTTTTTTTCCTTCACACTGTGAAAAAAATAGGCAAACAACAGCCAGCGAAAAATAAACGTGTACTCACTTCCTCCCGCTGGACGTAAACATGACTTCACTTCCTTCGTTTTTCCTGAATTTCACTGTACCCTTCATAAATTCATGAAAGTGCAAACACCCTTCTCTGTCAGTTTAGAAGCATGCATCATATACAGTTGCCACACTGTACAAATGACTCATTTACCTGTATTAAGTTGAATGATCTCGGCCCTTGCTCTGATTGTTACGCTCCTACATGTTGATTTTGACATAAAGCTACGTGACAGCACAGGTCAAGTCAAAGTGCACAAGATCAAAAGAAAAGAAACGAGCAACATGTAAAAAAGGCAGGAAATGAGCGCCCTGTAGTTGTGGATGTAAAACCCATGTCCTGTACCCCTTCTCCTAACCTCACCCCACCCACAGACCCAAACTCTGATGCTGATGCTGCCCACCCCTGCTGGTGGAGCCCAGAGGGGCTGAGGTGTCACACTGTGAGGGAGATGAAGCTGTTGTATCTCTGGATGTTCCTCTTGAGGATCTCTGAGCACGGACCCAGCACCCGCTCAAAGCGAGGCCGGTCCAGCTTCACACACTTCAGCGGACCACGAGCGACGACGGTGGCTGCCCTGGGACGGTTCAACAGGAGGGCGATCTCACCTGGAGGAGGAAGAGGTACACAGGACAAACAACAGTTTTGAGTCAATGAAAACATTACATTTTGTTTATCGCAGTAATAACCTGTGATTAATCAATAGTTGGGATGTTTTAATAACGAATGCATGAGAAAGAGAAAGCTGATACTTTTTTTAACTTGATTATTTGAGTGATTTCAAAATTTCTGGCATGATTTTCCGACTCTAAGCAAAAGCATCCACAAAGCCGCTGTCACAAAAAGCTGCTTTGATTTCCCTCTGTATACTTTACGCTATATATATTTTCATATGGTAGTATTCTCCCTGCCACTATCATATTGCATATATCCAGACTAAAATTACATCACTAAGTTAGGGTCGAACTTGGCAATGTCATTTTCTTTTTAACAAATTAACATTTTCCGGATGAATCACAAGTTAACATTGACAGCCCTATTAAATACAAATGTCTTAATGTGTATGATTTGTGTAGGAGTGCAATGTATGTCTTAGCATTCATTTTAGCATTAGTTCAACCAAGTGCAATTTAAATGCAAATGGAAAAACTGCAATATTAAGACCAATTACAAATGCCACACATCAGTGCAATTTAACCAACCTTTGATCTTTCTCAGCTATGCGACAAGCCAGGGTTGCATGCACAATTTATGTTTCTATATGCTAACTGTTAGGTATAACTTGAACCAGTTTCAATAGCTGATTGTATATGTGGTGCGAAACTCACCAAAGTAGTCAGAGGGTCCCAGGCGTCCGACCTCCACATACTCCTCGTTATCGGACCTACGCTGCAGAACAGAGGCTATTCCCTGGAGACAGAAAAAGAGAGGTGGAGGAAAGAGAAAAACGCAAGAGACAAGAGAAAGAACAGGATGAGAGGGGGTGTCGGTGTAGAGGGGAGAGATGGAGGAAAGGAGGGGGTGGGAGAGAAAAGGAGGAGTTATTTAACAAATGGGTTGAAAATCGGCAGGAGGATTAAGCCAAGGAGAAATTCCTTAGCTTCATAGGAGCACAGGTGCACAGGATTTAGCCCACTTTCCAGTGGGACTGACACCTGTTCTGCAGGATGCTTATGAACAGAAAAACTAAAAACACAACACACACATATTCCAACTGGATGGGTTATAGAAATTCAGATTGGTTCTGCTTCCTCCAGAGTGTGATAAATACAAACATCTAAGCCTTATGAGAGACTGACTGACTCCTCAGTGTCTCCATCACTTAATCCACTTGATCAGCATTGACCCACAAAGTGGAAATAATGATATTGTCCAAGACTGAGCTCCAATACAGTGTCCCTAAATGACCCTAAAACAACACACACTTCATGTACACACTTTAGTATGCTCCAATAGCATGTCTCAAACCCACAGTCTACTCTGCATATGCAAACACGCACAGTCAGGCATCCATAACAAGAAACATAGACCCAGATGGGCTCAGAATGAAACACAAACCAGCACGCAATTACCCATACACACATACAGTGAGAAAATCAACAGCTGATGTCTGCTGGACAGACCGACTGGGCTCTGCGACCGGCTTGGATACGCATATTACTGTCACCCGCTGGTTGCTGTTGTGTGACTGAATGTGTGAGTCATCTAAAAAGTATAATGCAGGAAATTTGATTTCCGTTTACTCTGCCCAACAGATGATGACAGTTCAAGCAGCCGTATCTTGCAGCTGTTGGTTTACTTGGTGTGTGTGTGAATGAGAACATGTTTGATTGTTTATCAGTGCTATGAGCTAAAATCTTGGAGTGTTCGATGCAGACAGTGAGCTTGACAAATTGTTTCTCCAAAGTATTGCTGTGTTTCTGTGATGGAGCATACGTTTGGCATGCGTATGTTTTGACTGAGGTAAAATATGTGTTTTTAACGATGATGTCTAGACATTTACATGTACTCAATTTCAACTGTAAATTGGTAGCAGGTAAGAAATCAGCAGGGGAACTTCCCAGCTTGTCTTGGGCCGTGTTGTAAAACAGACTTGACCGTTCCAGCACTCTAATCCTTTTTTCTGCCCTCTCTGCTCATTCTGCTGACCAGGCTTATAATGCTTAATATGAATATAATGAGCTTTAATGAGAACCCCAAAATGGTCAGCTCTTCACTTAAGGCACACAAAGGTGAGACTGTATGTTAGTGAAAGGGATATGTGTGTGAGTTTGTAATGAACTGTGGCGAAGTGGGGGATAATGTTCAGGTAAGCGGGGCATGGTGTGTGTGCGAGAGGTGACCAACTGTCCCGTGATGCCATGACCACACACACGACACGATACAGCAGGGTGAATCAAGCTGTGGGGCGGGGAACGAGGGCAGTCATGGTGTGGCTGAGCCTGGCTGGAGGTAAGGTTAAGTGTTGTGGACAAGTTACATCATGTTTAGTTTAAAAACAGTGCTTTATGTTGACTGCACTGCAAAACATGCACGATGCAGTAACAGTGATATTAAATTCCTCCAAAAGCAATTTTGCTTTTTGATGAGTCGATCGAGCAATAGCTGGACTGAAGAATAAGTCACATGACTCATGTCTATAATAATGTATTGACTATGTCTGTTCTTATTTTTTGTTTATTCAAACGTGTATGCCTCATTGCAGATGTAAACTCAATACAGATACTTCACTATGGTTGTTGAATGAAGGTTATTGAATTACATTTTCATAAGGACCAAAGAAAGAAAATCCCATAATGTTATACCACTTCATTTGAGAATCACCCATGAATAAATGAATGTGCAAACACTGCAACAATCAGTGATTTAACTTCATCATGTGCACCTGAGTGTAAGTGTTTTAAAACAGAGAGAGGATGTGAATGGGGGAGAGAACGACTGTTTACAACCAGTTGATTCCTTTCCTTTCCATTCATGTCCAAACAAAGAGAGTGAGACAGTGCAGCACCGTCATGTACAGTAGTTCATTGGTGAGCAGGCCTCTCCCAGTGTGGTCCAGATAACCATCATGTACTGTACTGTACCACCCCAGGGCAGCGCTCTGCTCCACAGATATTTCTTTTATAAACATCCAAGATCCTCCTCACCATGCTTCCCAACACAGAGTGCCAACAAAAAAAGGAAACAACACTAAATGAAAAAAAGACAAACAGGGAAGCATGAATAAGTAAAGTTGCAAATAAAGATAGTGGGAAACGGTTTGAGTCAACATAAAGGGCAGCGGTTCCAAATGATCACTTATACGTGGTATAACAGGTCGGATACAAATCTTAAATTGCATAACCAAAATGCCCATTCACACTCACTTGTACGCATACCTACATACACATACCACACGCAGAGCGGAGCAAGTCGGCTCGTGGTGACATGTCAAAATGTTGCGTCCTGCATGCAGGAAGTTACAACCGTTAGATATGCAACAGGCACAGAGAGAGAGAGGGAGAGGGAGAGGGAGAGGGAGAGGGAGAGGGAGAGGGAGAGGGAGAGGCACCAGCAGAGATGGAAGAGGAAAGGTGATATCCTGAGTAGCCTGTTCACAAGGCCACCCAGCACAGTGTCTGCACCTTCTCACTGAGACGTCAACGTGCACACAAAGTTTCCGCTCTTGCACGGCCTAAAGGCTGATTTAAAAAAGAGACATAAAGAAACAAAAATGATTTCTAACACATATGTTAACCTTTACCTTTGTTCTTGTGACTGCATGCTCACACTCACACATGTCTTCATTCATTAACTGCATTGATCTTCAGTCTATGGAAGTGGTGTGGAGCTCCATTAGCTTAATTGCATTTCAGCAGGTTACAGTGGCAGTATATATGTAGACAACCCACAGAGGATTTCTCTTCTGTGTGACCCAGGGGGACAATGTACATCCCCTCAGATTGATTACTTTTGTGTTGGGTCAAAGGACAAATATGAAAAACACATTGAGTTGAAGTTTAGATTGATGACTGGAGGAGATGAAAGTGAATGCACAAGCTGGGGAACAACAGCTCTGATTTTACTCAAATTCATCCAGAGGCTAACAGGCATAGCATACTCTAGTCATATGACTTGGACTTGAGTAAGACTCAAGTCATGAGTCTAAATGACTCACTTTATTTGTATCAAAAAAGACTTGTTAGTACACTCACTGTGGTGATGTTTCACCAGTGAACTGAAGATTAAAAATAGGACCATAATGATTGAGCCAAATTGCCGTCACATTGTCGTACAGAGAGGTTTGAAAGGGTTTACTTGTGACCTGCAAACAAGTGACTTTGACACATCACTGCAAAAAGGTTACATCTAAAGAAAAATATGAAAGGGAAACATGTGCCCAATAAACAGAATAACCTCTGTTTCAAAACTCTCACTGAAGTCTCTGATGTTCATCAAGTTTCCTAATCCCTCCGTCTTTCTCTTGCATTATATGCTGCATTTTAGGTGGCAGTGGTGACAGCATGGATGACAAGGTGCTGGGTGGTGGTGTACAAGCACGAGGAAGAAAGAGAGAGTTAAGGTAATAAGCCACGAAGAAGGGAGGAAATAGAGGGAAGAGAGGAAGGAGAGGACACGAGGAAAGGTGCGGCCAAGTCTTCGCGGCCCTGCCGTTCTTTAAAGGCTTGTTTGTACAGTGTAAGAAAAAAATGTAAACATGTCACTTTTCATTAGGGCCCCATTCCCGACAAGCAAAGAAAGTGATGTCTCTATACCTCCCTTTTGTTAATCCTCCCATCAGCAGCATGTAATTAGTGATTGAGGGGTTTGTCTTTGGCCGATGCTCCAAAACCGCAGAAACAACAAGAGTGAGAAGAGACCGAATTAGTGGGAGGCGGGGAGAGAAAAAAAAAAAAAAAAACAGTTCTGACTGAACAACGCTGATATTTTCACCTCAGACGAAAGGTGTGCACGTAAAAAAGAGAAGAGGGTGACGAGTGAGGAAAGTTGTTGCGAGACTGACAAAATCTTCGTCTCCCGCCTTACTTGTGGTTCCTTTCAGATCAACCTCTCTTTCCCTATATGTCCCTCCCTGCCCTCTTTGACTCATCCTTCCTCTCTCTATTTCTCTCTCTCTCTCTCTCTCTCGTCTCCCTCCCGGGAGGCTGGGTCTCCTGACCCCGTGTGAAAGTCAGTGACACACATTCCACCACAGTCCACCCTTCTCTGGGAAAGTCAGACCATGCTGCATGAGAGACGGAGAGAGAACGAGAAAGAGAGAGTGCGGAAGGGAGGGAGAGCTTAGAGGAAAATGTGGATAGGCAGGAGAAGGGGAAAAGGGATTAAACAAAGAGACACAAACTTGTGTAGGGTGAGGCTCACAGTGTCTGCTGGGACACTCACATACTGGGCTCCATCCCTGTCTCTCCTTCTTCCTCACTTCCTGCTCCGTCTCTCCATCCTTTAATCCCCAAATAACTCTGCATATTGTTCCTCTTTCCTCTCTGGGGAATTAGAAGTCTCAGTTTGATGAGCAATGTTTTCCACACAGACTTAGGAGGGGTTCACAGGTATATTATGTATAATTGGTATAATTAAAGTGTATAAGCAACCCATTTTAGCATTATGCATTTGTAATTGTATATTCGCCCATCAGAACGACGCCGTCCTGTTTTTGCAAGAAGAGTTCTGTTTTTTTAACCATTCTGTTTTGAGTTTACTGACAATCAGGAAAACACAGAGCCCAATTCCTGAATAGAATCAATCCAGAGTTCACGATTAGACTCATTAAGACCTCTGCAGACACAATTCTGTCAATTTCCCACACCTAGCTTTTTTAATAAGTTATTAGAAAGGTTATGGTTACAATTCAAATACAGCTGGGTTGTGTTGGTTAGCATTGGGTGTGTCTCTTTGCACACACATTCACAGAACCCCTTACACTGATGGTTCATGCATTTTTACAATAACTGCCATATTTCTGTCCTCAACCCCAATTGGGTTCATTTCCTGTACAGTTACACTGGGTTTTAGAAGATTTATTTAGCTCCAATTGGAGTGGTCATATAATGTGAAGTAAACACAAGATATTCACAGTGCTGTCTATAAATTCATTAAGAATTCAAAACACTCTTCTTCTAATATACACACAAGTTGAATTTATAAGCATTTAAAAATTCTAACCGTACTTAACCCTACTTAATTGGCCCGGTAGGACCAGTACAGTAGCTTATGTTGGCTAATGTAAGCAAAAATGCTGACAGATGTTTCTAATCAACTGATTCTACTGAGTCATGTCACTGGATGTATGACTCTTTTTGTCTTGAACTACTGTAATAATAAGTTCTAGCAATTTCCCATAAATTAAACTGGCCACTTCGAATGCTATTCATCATATGTAGTATTCGTCAAAACCGCCCTCACATCTGAAGTATAACGTAGGATGTTATGACATTTTGATCTTTATTTTTGACAATCTTCCTGCCAACACATCATCCCTATATGCTCTTTGAGGGCTGCACAGCTTCAGTCTTCAGTTTATGCTTATTTCAGAGGACATTTACCTTTGTATACTTATTACTTTGCTCTTCAGTCTGGTTTTCATCAAGCAAAACACATGCTAAGTTGAATTTACGTAGGTTTATGTTGAACTTCAACCTTATTATAATTATAATTTCAAATGTAATGCATTGCATGAGAGCCCAAAAACTACAGAAAACATGACCGTCCAAATACTAACAGAAGTGAGTTATAACTTGGAGAGTGAAAAAATTGATGAAGAGGAGAAATGTGGTTCTGCAAGGAAACAGGTGACAAGAGAGAACAGAGCAGCCTGAAAGAGGGATAAAGACGAAAACTCCCATGCATTGCCTGTAACCAATCCACAGCTCACACTAAATATTGTTGGACATCAGATAGACAGAGCAACTGACAGAGAGAATCACTGTCCCGTTAGAATAATGAGAGAGGGGGCCAAACGACCGCAGATTGGGTGCCCGGCCCCTATAGAAAGGGCCCTCTTGACTTGATCCTGGTGAAAGCCGTGTAAGTATGGAGTTAATCAAAAGTGTGTGAGGATGACAGGCAGGGGGGCCCTTCATGGAGCTGCACCAGGGACCCCAGCTATACAAAGCCTGCAGTGTGGGGGGGGGGGGGTGCTATTCACACAGAAGGGGAAGGGGAACAACACCAGGTAGTCTGTCCACTGGTGGCAATAAACTGAAATCAGTTCCGAGAGCCCACCAACGTCTCTGCATGATGACATCACACACGTACACACACACACACACCTTACCTCTGTTATAATGAAGAAGTCATCACCAGGGTCTCCTTGCACCACTATCTTCTCTCCATCCTCAAACTGAACGGGCTCCAGAGAGTCGGCCACAGTCAGACGTTCCCACTTGTCCAAAGACTCTGTCGTATCAATAAGGATAATGTGTTATTAACCTAAATGTTACTACACAAATGTACATAATTAATATGTGTGTGTGTGTGTGTGTGTGTGTGTGTGTGTGTGTGTGCGTGCGTGCGTGCGTGCGTGCGTGCGTGCGTGCGTGCGTGCGTGCGTGCGTTCTCCATGATCTAAGAGGATGGCCATTGCTGGAAGTCCAGTAAGCTGGTGGGAACAGTAATTCCTACCCCGTGCTAATCCAGTCATTCATCAGGGACCATTACATCTCAGATGCCCCTGCCTCCTCCCTCATCTCATGGAGCCTCATGGAGCCAAAACAAAATGACACTAACTCCTAAAGCTGTGAGACCTAAGCTCCACTGATTCTGGGGTGTGGTGCCACAGAGCTTTCCTGTGTGTGACCATCAAATAACAGAAATATCTAAAGTTTAATCCCCGAACCAGTCCAGCTTCCTTGAAAGAGACGCATGCTAAGGGTGACCGGCGTAGATTAAAGCGTCTGCTTGAGGTTTATTATAGTGAATATGTCATCAGTGGCTGTGATACATCGAGGGTTAGATGTAGAGGGTGATCTAATGCTACTGGATTTCAACTGAATATATCCCCTCTGTGATTGTAAAATACCATTCAGTTACACTCCAGAGAGAGTGTACTATAAAGAAATATTACATTAATTTAAATGTTATACAATACATCAGATTATTACTATTTAGATTAGCGAAACCTTAACAATTATATTTTTTTACCCCAAGGCTCTTGTAAATTTAGAATTCCCTTGAATGCACAAAAAGTGAATTGACCATTTTGTGAATGAGTCCTGCCGAAACCCATGATAGGATATAACTTTTTCAGTTTTGTTGATCCTCAGAGCCAGTGGCGACAGCTGTCTTTCCGACTGTCCAACCACATGTACAGTGACGTGGTTAAGCCCGGGATATTTCTAGAAGCCGTTGGTATTCACACAGAAACCAAAAACACAGACGGTCACACATATTCACTGGGAAAAATATTCCAACCAGAGAAGTTTTGAACAACTCTTTAACATATTGATATTTATAGAAAGAGGACCCACAAATAACCAAATACCTCCACATAGATGATTCAAATAAGCTTATCCTACTTTCACAATTTGGTAGATCATTCTTTACTGATCTTAAAGGTCTACACTATCTGTGCATCTGCAGTGAAAACACTCCTCTCCTCTAGATAAAAGCATGATTCAGTGTTTGATTTGACTAAGACATGAGTTAGGGGCGTAAAACTTCAGAAGAATCTCTTTGTCTGAGACTGTTGTCTCCCGATGAGCTCAGTTACTGATCCCAGTGTCTGTCTGTTTGTGTGTGGGTGTAAATGTGTATGTTCTTAGGATTAACTAAGGTGAAGTTTGATCAGTTGGAGGTGTCCAGTGTCCCCTCTGATGGGGCCGTGGTGTCTGCCGGCCCCAGATGGATGTCCTCTGTCTGGCTGCAAGCTAAAGGCATCAGGTCCTATAGAAGTGATCCCTAACAGCTCGGGATGTAACATTATACACAAATGTGCTGACTTAAGAACCTACATTTCACGCTTCGCAGAGCCTGCACCCACTTGGATCCCCTTGCTCCCAACGCACATAGTACGCACACAGGGAATTGCCCATTGGGGTGTGTGACAAAGAACATGTTGTTTCACCCCCCCACATCACTCCTCGACATCAAGGGCTTGTACCCAATTTCGTGGCTATCTTAAAAATCAAAGACAAACAAAAACACTCCCGCCTCCTTCCCCTCCTCCAATTCAAAGAGGTGGAGTGGAGAAGCGGGGCGACAGAAAAAGGAATGAAGAGAGGAAAAGCACTTCGAAGAAGGGAGGCGGGCATTTGAATACAGGCCTCGACAAGGCTGTCAAAAAGAGAGACTCAGAAGAAAGGAGGTGAATGAAAAGAGAGTGGATCTCGCAGAGACGTTCTCATAAGACCTGAATTGAGTGTATGTGTTTACTCAGCCAGCTAATAACTCTGTACAGGGGGCACGGCCTTACTCTACACACCACACACACACAATCAAGTGGAAGGGGATGGGATGTCAGTTCCAATTGCAACTCGTTTGAAAGTCTGAATAAATCTCATTCTCCAGTGCGGCCTGAGTCGGCTGGTGTTATCTAAATTCCAGTGGTAAAAGCGAGGCTTATCTTAATTCGCAATTTTGTAATTGTCAACACAGCGACAATGCAGAATGTGACTGGCTTTATTATAAACAGTGCAAGAAGATTAGGACTGTACACAGACCTTACTCAGCCATGGGCCTTGTGTGACAACGTGCGCCTGTGTTTATGTGGGCTAATCTACAGTATATGTTGCAGACGGCAGATTTAACTGCACTCTGGACCCTCTGACCTGGTGTTTAAAATGAATATGAAACATGGCATGAAGGGGCAAACATCCCCTGCACTACACTCAATTCATGCAAAAATAAACAGTTAGACAGAAGCTGACATAATTATCAAGTTTTTACAGTTTTTGCTAGACTTACCAAGGATGGAGACCTTGCTGAGGAACTCTTCGTACATCTTTCTCTTCCTCAGTGTGCTTCCCTGTAAGACAACAAGAGGAGAGACATCCACCATCACACACACTGTGAAATTCTGGGAGCACGACAAAAAGAGCATACAAATTACATATGTGGTTACTCTGCAAACTATTGTGATCATAATACATTTAAGGTTTTCCCTGAAACTGCCTTTCAATGGTTCTAATGTGTTCAAATACAAATAACTATTAGTTGGGAAATGCTGCTAAGAAACTACTAAGTTTTGGAACTGTACATGTTTGGTGAACAAATCAAATAGGGAGCATCCTTAGTTCACAAACAGTAAACCTTTTTTTGGAACTAAAACATTGTTTTTACCTTTGTTACACTTTCATTCTGTTAATATATGGTAATATTTCTCTCTTTCATACATTTATCACTAAAATATGTTATTCTACTGTAACATTTTTTTTGTAAAGCAACTAACCAATTGGTCTTGAAAGCTCATTTTGACATAAACACTTGAATATGTTGTAAATGATATTTTGAATGCAGTTCATGGGGTCACACAGAGGTGTGTATGACTTGTGTGGTAATGTTCATTGCATGTGGGTGCCATGTGTGTGGCCCACCCCACCCACCAGGTATGGGGACTTTCCCCTCTCTGCCTCTGCCATGAACATCAGGTGCTTCCTGACAAGTCTAGACCCAGAGGACCCCTTCCCCAAATGCATTTCTCCTTTTTTTCCCCCACCTTAGATGCACAGAACCATCCGGAGAGATCGGGGGCATACGGAAGAACAGAGAGAGGGAGGAGAGATGATCTAGCCCGCCCTGTGTCTGCTTCTGCATATGGAAATGATATATTGAGGCTTGGGGTGTCTTTAGTGCATAAGTGCCTGATTCCCGCTGCTGCCTCTAATTTCATATAATTTCACATTTTGTCTTAAAAGGGGAGAAAATATTCCCAAGTGAGCCAATGTCAAGCTCAAAGCCGTAAACAACTTGATTAAAGGAATTCTAGCCTGCATCGCCTCCCTCCTGGATAAATGATTATGAGTGTGTTTGTGTTTGTGTGTGTGTGTGTGTGTGCGCGTGTGTATGTTGTGTGTGTGTTTGTGTGTGCAAAGCGTGGAGTTTGTTTTAGGTTCTGTCATTTTCGCTTTGCTGTATTTGCAGAGAAGACACTACATGCTCATTAAGCAAGCAAATACAAACACTCACACATGTATACTGTGCCTCTAACACAATCTCACACACACACAAACACACACCTTCCACAAAAATGTTGAGTTGGTCTCTTGGTTTCATAGCCTCCCCATAGAGCTCCTCAGACAGGCTTGCTGAGCTTAAAGGCTTACCATGCATACATAACATTACATTACACAGCAGGTCTGATTTATGCTACTGGTGTAGGAAGGACTGGGTGGGCCAACATGAGGGTTGACCGGGGTGGAAGGAATGAAGATTATACTTTTCAGATATTCTGATTCTGATGTCATAACTTATTTTGTTGGTGCGCATCTTTTTTGTCTTTTAAACTGTCCTTCTCCTTTCTTTCTACTTGGGAGGGCCTGAGCACATGCCTCACATACAAAAGTCCCTTACTCCTGTTGGCCATAATGCTCCTCCTGTGGTTAAAGATGAACCAGCCTCTGTGTCTGCTGCCTGTCTTTGAGGTGGAATCATCAAAGGCTTGAGGTGTGGAGCGAAGCCAGTCTAAACCCACCATACCTTACGCCTCATCACCATTACCTTCATCTATGTCCAATATAAAAACACATACACCCCCCACATCCCTCCGCATTTCTTGGTATAATTTCTCCTTGTCTCCTTTCGGTCTGTTTTCTGTTTGTTGACGGTGGTCTGTCAGTTTGTAAAGCTTTGTCTGTAGCTGTGCCTGTTTAAGAACAAAGATGACACAAAGAGGCGGGTATTGTATGACTGGCATCAACACAATGGAGAGAGTGTGTTAATCCCATGGAATGGTATTACATATTTGACTAAATGCACTCCTGGGTAAGGAGGAGAGGAGGATGTTGGGGGTTTTGTGTTACAAGATAACTGACATTCTCTCGTGGAAGCAGCTTCAAGACCAGTTCTTATAATGCTGACATTTGCATTGGTGTGTATATTTGTTTCCATTGGGTGATGGGAAAAGGTCCAGGGTAAAATCATCTACAGATGAACATGTACATGCACTAAAATAGGTCTGGAATACAAATATGTATTAATGAAATATCTTTTAAATGTTAAATAGAACTGCCTCACACAAACCAATCAAATTCCAGTTCAGTTTCATTTCTGTCTAAAATGTCATTACATCTTATTAGATATTTGTCAGTTAATCAATTCACCTTTAAATCCAAGAGGGCATTGGTGCCAAATGTTATGAAATTGCTTTCACGAGAATGGGACAGACGGAAGGACCTATTGATTCAAATACAAATATATTCAGCTCTATTTGAGAAACATCCCAAAACATTTGGGAGCTTTATATTACAATGGACTGCACCCAAGATCATTATCATCATGAAATGTAGCATTATTGACAAGCATTAAAAAATAGCAAGAGTTGCAACTGGCAAAAGGTTCGGTGGTTGCAAAACTTTAATGCAAACAGCTAACGTTGATAACCTTTGAGGGATGTAGTTGCTCAAGATGGTACAATTAATCAGAATATGTCAACTTGTGTAGTTCACTATAAATACAAAAACGTAAATCTTCCCTGTCAAGTTATTAATTACGATCCAGCAGCGGAGCAGGACAAGAGAGAAGCAGATGTGCAGTTAATGAATCTGATAGTAGCTGCAGCTCACCTTGCAGAGCTCCTGACTAACTAGCTGCAGACACAAGCACTCAGCATCATTTCACTGGGAAACACACACACATACTTAGACACACAGAGAATGCTCATTGTGTTGGCCTGAGACGTTGCCAGAATACCTCTCTTTATAAAAACAGCTTTACAAACCGTTGACAGCAATAATTAACTACAGGTTCACATAATTGAATTCTGCTTCACCCCGTCTTTCCTCCTGCTGCTGCTGGAAGGAAAGAAGGAATGACAGCCGGAGAGAAAGAGAGGGAGGGAGGGAGAATCCTCTCAAAGAAAGGTTACCAGGGTAGACTGTGCCCTCGGTTAAACTATGTGCTTAAGAGGTGACATGAGTGCTGGGCAGGCCAGTGCCAACTTTACATTGAGCTGAAAGGTCCAAACACAGACCGTCTTCCATCTCTGTGGGCTCAAACTGTGTGGCACAAAGCCGAATGGTCACTGCTGCTTCACACTTCAAGGCTCAGATGCACAGGATGTTTGGGAGCTTAATTGGAGCATATCTAATTTATTTGGAGTAAGGTGTTGGAAACATTTAAAGGAAGTATTTAGTTGGGCATGGAGACAGTAATTACTTATTCTAACAGCAACAAAAAAGTGTGTGGATGTGTGTGTGTGTGTGTGTGTGTGTGTGTGTGTGTGTGTGTGTGTGTGTGTGTGTGTGTGTGTGTGTGTGTGTGTGTGTGTGTGTGTGTGTGTGTGTTTCCAGTTTAAACATTTAGACATTCCTGCTAGATAAGCTCCTGGAGCTGGAAGTGTGTGTCGAGGCATTAGGGTTGACTCTCCTTCACATAGCCTCTCTTTTTTCCCCTTTCTTCGTCTCCCAGCATATCCAGAGGAGACATTAAAAAGGTAGAATAGACCTGGAGGTGAAGGTGATTTAGTTTCTGATTACATATGTTTTGCGTTTGAAAAAGAAATCAACAACTTTGAGTGTTTTAAGGCGTCTTAAGTGGTTGAGTGGGAGAAGATATTGCTTATAAAGGACCACAAATGATAAGAGTGTAAAGTCTGCCGAACTATTTGAATAACATATATTTTGATATATAAAAGACCAACCTGTAGATTATTGGAAGAAAATGTAGGGTCGAACAAGTGACTCTAAAGTTACTCAAAGTGTTTTCTCAAGTAGAGTGAGGAAGTGTGTAGATGTTCGTACCATGAGGATGCGCCGGTAGCTGTCTCGGTCGATGCCCCACAGTTTCAGATCCGTCTTGGCCTTCACGGTAGCAGCTCTTGGAGTCCCATATATCAGGGCCAGCTCTCCAAAACTACCTCCTTCTCCAATACTGGTCACCCACTCCCCGTTCACGTACACCTGCAGACGGAACAAGAAACAGAATGATGGGGAGAGAGTCATTTCTTTTACGCCTGAAGGATGGCAATCATTGCTTTGTAGACTGTGAACATTTAAACCATCTTGAGATAGATTTCCAACCTTCCCCTCTACCTCTCCTTAGTATCCGGGCCGTTTGACATGCTCACTGGGCCTGTCACTGAGCATTTGATCCCCACTAAGCCCTCAAATGAGACACTCTAAAATGGCCCTCTATCCTTCCCATCTCTCCGTTCATCCCTTTATTTCCTTTTACCTGTCTTTTTACGACCTACCCTTTGATTTAGAAGTGATGGAGGACAGAAAGCAGTGGTGGACCTTGTGGGTCTACTCAGTATGGCATTCACAGGGTTGTCCATCTACATGCACAAACATGCACGTCTCCATCTAGGCCAGCCACTATATCACTACAGACAATGCAACCTCATTGAGCCTCGCTCAGGCTGTCTCTAGGGCCGTTACGGTTTCACCTGTCGACACACTATCCACCATCTTGTTGACTTAAAAACACAGAGAGAAAGGAGAGAGCGAGGGAGGGTTTGTCCCTTCGGTAGCTGTGAATTGCCAAAACTGTTGCAAGCCATTATTCAAAGGCTCAGAGAAGACCACAAGGGACTTATCTTTTACTATAACCTGTGGTGTGCTTCAAGGGGATACAGAGCTCTGGCTACGGTTACGTCAGGCTTAGAAGAACAATCATATAAGTGTTGCAAAAGTATTACATCATAGCGTACAGTACAGGTAATATGTTGTCACTCCACAGTTTCCCGTTACACTCCTTAAAATCTCTTGATCTGTTTGTTTGGTCTTCATTGTTGTACAACTGATCCTCTTAGGTTCCACAAACACTTTCATGTATTTCCTGGTCAGGTGGAGCTGTATCAAATGCTTAAACAATCAGCAAGAAGTCCTAACTGGATCAAGTATGCACTAGTAAAGCTTGAGTAAAAACTGATAGTATGTTCAGACTTAAATTGGAAACACTTGTACTGTATCAAGTCAGCACTGTGCATGAGGTAAAATGGAGTTCATCATAAAACAATTCAAGTCCTAAACCGTGTATGCTGTTGCACAGCTGTCACTGGATTTTCAACATGGGAATATCTGCAGTAAGCTGTGTGCGCCTGCTGGTAATTAAGTAGCAACAAATCAAAAGTCCTGGAAGGCGGATTAGCAGTCAGTGTTGCATTTCTGTTTGTAGTTAGGCTCCTCTGTGCATCCCCGGTTTCAATGTGTGAGTGAGGGTCTCTATTTGTTGTCTTTTTGGCAGCAGATGTTTAATTTGATTTCAAAATGCCACATTTACTTTAATAGCAATAATAATTAGGGCTGTCAAAGATAAGAGAAGCAAATGTGTAAAAAATACATAATCAAAAGTACTAATACTTGGATTTTGTTTAAAGCAAAGTAAATATATAAATAAAATACAATAAATGAATAGCTATCGTATTGGGTATTAGTTAATTGTGGAATTCTAAATACAATTGGACTCCTTACTTTCTGGTATCGTGATATCAATCTGGAGAATATTTGTCATTGTTTTGTGTTGTTTGTGATTTCCAACTACAAATGCATATATATTTGCATAAAGCAAGCATATATTCTGTACCTTTGGTAAATCATGCAATTCATCATGATTAATATTTAAATCGACTGAAGGCCCTAATGACAATAAGAGCATAACTGCTTATATAAATGTGAAGGTACTTAAGTACATTTTCTTAAGACCTTTGCTTGCAAAATGTCAAATATAATCATCTGTGATTTAGAGATCATTTGTAACACTTAAACTCTCTTATTAAGCATTAAGTAGCACTACATAAACATGTATACATAGTTGATGACATTACAATGTAGTTCGAGGCAGATATAAGGATGTTTTAAAGTGTGTCTATAATTATTATTATTTTATATAATTACATTTATATAAACAATTGTACTGCTATTAATTATCTTGACAATTGTATCACCACACAAATACAATAAGTGTTGGTCATAAATTATGAAGTGGGTTATTCAGTGTTTGTATACTACTAACATATAATAATAGGGGAACCTGAAATGTCACCAGATACTCAGTTAATTACAGTTTATTACAAATAGCATTTCTTTTCAACAAGATCATCTCACATTTTGGAATGAAAGCTTTAATTTCCTTTGTGGTGAACCCAAATAAATACAGGCCAATGTCTGTAAGTGAATACATTTGTGTGCAGACATGGAGGGGTGTTTAACGTAGTGGCAGTGGTTGTGAGCTTTCAGGCAGTTTATTGGATGCTAGCAGATTTACACCCCTGTCTAATGAGAGACATCTCAACACTTTAATAACCTCGGCACTGAGCTTGAAGTAGTTTAGTGCCTGAGCTGTGGCTGGGAGGCAGCAGCTGACTGCAGCGAGAGAGGGGTGGCATGTCGGGAGAGGTGACAGACACACAGAATAAAACTGGGGCGAGTTTAAGAATAGGGGTCTTCCTCAACTTCGGGGCAGAAGGATAGGACCCTGGCTGTGGGAGGAGTTGCTTAAAATGTAGTGTTGGCAACAGAAAGAGGTTGAAGTCCCAGCCGGCCACACGATGAAGACGCCAAGCAATTCTGCAGCTGCTTGACTGAGCTCCAGAATAACTGTGATTTTATCATGAATATTATAAAAGACAGTATTATGTAAAAAAGCCTTAATATTCAATTTCAGCCAATATGTCGCTACAGCTAGCTACAGCATTTTCCAACCGTACTGTCTAAGTAAAAAGGACAAACTTTTGGTAAAAGGAAAAACTGTTACACCCAACTAGACCAGGCGGTTTCAGCACACTGCCTGGTTGGAAAAAGACAAGCCACAGACTGTAAGATTAGTGGTGAAAACAAAAACAATGTTTCCAAGAAAAAAGGTCTCCGTGGGAGTAAGATTATCACACACCAACTGATAACTACGAAAGAAAGAAAAACATTCATGGATGAAAAAGAGGAGAATATCACGATAACAATTTGGAGGAAAAAACTTCAGACTAAACAGACAACACTTCATCAGGCCTAAATAAAAGGTAATTTCAGTAAAAACGTGTTCAGTCTAATGAAGCTGAGGAGATATAATCCAGAGTGTGGAAATGATCAGCTTGTTCCTTTACTGAATGTCCTATTTGTGTCTTGCCTAAATATAGCAATGGATATGCACACAGACAAACCATTATAACCCATTAGTGTTTTATTTGAATCTTAACATAACAACTATACATTTTTTCTAATCACAAGACATAATCTCAAAACAATGGAGGTCAATGCAAAACTGTTTGGTAAGAGTTAGATGTTATGAAGTCTTATAATCGCTGCACTATCTCAGTATCTGTAAACTTCCTTCTCTCTGTCTCTCAGGTGGGACGGCTGTATCAGCACCCTCAGTTTGCCAACGTGCTTCTCTCCTCTTACCCACCTTGTCTGTGCTCACCGCTGTAAGCTGATAAGGTCACTTCCTGTTTAACTTTCCATCAACTCCTGTTTAATCTCTCCACTTAACTCTATCGCTCTGCGTCAGGCTCGCTAAGACAAAAGGCGTCCTCAGTTTGGCTGCCTTCTCAGTGCACTGGACTCTCTAGCGCCATGTTCAGATTGCCATCGGAGTGGAACCACACTTTCAAGAGAACAAAACATGAGGGCAATCCAATACAACTTGCCCATTGTTAGAAGGAAACATTGTCTTAACATGTGGGGAGAAGGCTTGGTATCCCCAGAGTCAAAATCCTTCTCAAGTTCCACAGGTGAATAAAAGCTCATATTGGCATGCTGCATACTGGAATATCTAAATCAATTTGTAATGATTTACTTTTAAACTAATGTAAAATATTCTTAAGAGAAATAAGTATTTGTTTTTTGTGTGTTTGTCTCAACATTGGCCACTTACGTCCACTTCACCTTGGTCAATCACATAGAAGTTGTCTCCTTCATCGCCTGGAAGGGAGAGACAAGGAGAAACACAGCAGTTTATGAGAGAGCCGGGGAAAAAGCATGTAAATGACCTGAAGCCAGCAGGAAAGCTACACTTCCTATTACTTCCACCTGCTGCTTAAGATCTTTAAGACTTTCTTTAAGGTTTTTTTTTTTAAACCTCTTGGGCTTAAAAAGATTAAAATAATTTGTTAAACACTTGGAATACCAGTTTATGTGAACTTAAGAACACAAATAATCCTGAAACTTCTACATAAACCCACACATACGTGCATTTTCTCATACTCTCATCATCCTTTGTGTCAACATCCCTTCTCCTTAATAAGAGTTCTGGATTTATGGTCTTGCTATTATTTTTCTTTTGGTGGTTATTCATTACCCCTGAAAGCATCAGGGAAAGACCCAGAGTCAAAGATGCCGCTTTCTCCTCCAGAATGCATATTTCACTGGGCCTGCCAATGTTTCTGTGAAAATGGGCTCTCGCCAGCAAACAGCAGCGCTTACAACCGCTGCTTGTGTAGCTTAATAGTGGAAACTCTGAAACAGAGGTGCTTGATGCAGAGCAAAACCACCTCAGCACAAAGTAAAGAGAAAGATTCAGAGTAATATATGCAACAGACGTCAGCTGGTTTGAGACATTGCTAATGTACATAGAATATGAACAAAATAATGATATTATTATAATCCTTTTGAGATTTTTCCTTTTCAAAACAGAAGAGGATGTAATGCTCATTACATATTACAACCATTTTTTTTAAGATGGATTAAAAACCTAAACCTTGATGTTTTTAGAGCCTTTCCACTAGCAGGTGTGTCCATTGTTTGCTGTGTTTCCTCCATTTTTCAAGAGCTTGGTCTTTTGCAACTAATTTTTGAGTAGCTATCAAATGTGCATGGCTGACAACTCAAAATGTTGTCTGGTTGTCTGACTGGCTCCCTGTTGTGTCATTGACAGTGGCATGCTGTGCTCTCAAAGCGAACCCCTAACCCTTGAAGTGAGCCATGGGATCTTGTCCACTAAAAGCATCTAGTCTGGAGATAAGGCTGACAAATGGTGAAGTGTTCCTTTAATTATGGTATCTGTTACATGGGGCTCAGGAAATTATGAAGAAGGACTGACAGTCCCATACGACAGCAATGTGAAGCTCTCCCAGCAGCTTCTTCCTACAATAAGACACACATGCAACTCCATTCAGAGGTACAAGAGGGTGATGATGCATGAGTATACATGACACAAGTATGCGCGTGTATGCATTTTGTGAAGGTGTGTGTGGCTGTGTGCATTTAGCTATCTTTTGTGTATTTTCACCTGAAGAGCTGAAAAGCTGAGAGCGCCCTGTGTGTAAAGTTCACAAGAGTTCACACGGCTAATTAATACTGGGTAGAGAGTGCTCGTTAATCATAAAGCTCTACATGTCACACAAAACGCTCCTTGTCTGTCTGATGGTCCGCACGCACACACACACACACACACACACACACACACACACACACACACACACACACACACACACACACACACACACACACACACAACACACACACACACACACACACACACACACACACACACACACACACACACACACACACACACACACACACACACACACACACACACACACACACACACACACACACACACACACACACACACACACACACACACACACACACACACAACCTGCTGCAACCTGGCCCTCTTCTATCTTCCTCTCTCTTTCATCTGATCTATCCCTCTTTCAATTCCCTCTCGCTCTGTCCTTCTTTTCTTCTAGTCTTCCTGTCTTTTATCACTTTGGTGCTCAAGTCTTTGTTTTGCACCTTCCAATCCCCCTGTGCCTGAGAGTGCAGGCAAATATTTGATCAGAATGTGCACACACACAGACACACACACGCAAGCACGCACACAGACACACACACAGGAATGTGTACTTAGTCTTGAACCGTGTCAACACAAGCTAATTGCCGTTAACAGTTAAGGTTCTTTGAGTTTGGTCAAAAGGAATACATGCGTTACATCCGTGGCCTGTAAGGTGTGTATTGTAGCCACAGTGTTGCATGGTGCACCATAAAGCTAGAAACGTCCATGTTTCAAAACTCACATTTTGTAATCTGATAACTCAAATATGGAAACATACATCAAACCTTACTATTAACAAATAGCATCAACGGACCAATTGCTTACAACTGCAAAACTGGATATACTATGTTTCAGAAACATCAGATTAAATGCACTTGATAGACAATAAATGTCAATGAAAATACCTCCATACTCCATTTTGAATGTACATTGTCCCTCTGTTTAAATACCACTTGAGCCACAGAGTCGGCAACTCGTAGCTGTTTCTAAATACTGTGTGATGGGCGAATAGCAGGGGAGCTTCTTTTTTAAAGTTTTACAGTAGTCCAGACATCAGCAATGACATCAGCGCCATATATACTGTATACCACACTCTATGGTGTATATAACAATGGGCTGTCTGAGACTGGGGGCCCTGCAAAGTTAGCTAGACTTATTATCACCAAATTAGGACTGACCTACCCCTGGATGCTGTTTTAAGAGTAGGTGGGAGTGACAGAGCGGGTGTGTGTTCAAAAGCCTATAGTTTGCCTTCACTTAATGTCTAAGAGAATGTGTAAGCGCGGCATGTTCGACAAGTGTAACCTATGTGCTTTCTGAGCAGGTGTGAACACAGTATTATCGGAAATTGTCTGCGGTTGTCTGTGAGAATGTGTGTTTTCAGTGTTTAAAATATGTGATTAGGTCTGTGTCTGTGGTTGATAGCAGTTTGAGTGGGGGGTACAGGAAAAATACAGTCTGGCCCTGTGTTCAGCTCTGTGTTCTTTCAAAGTCCTGGGCTGTCTAGAGCGAAGGCTTTGACGACTGTGGTTAGGCAGAAGAGGGACATGACATCTGGTGCAGACTAAGGGAATGTGTTAGTGGGGCAAAGAGAGGAAAAGGGAGGGAACAAGGGAGTGGTGGGACAAAATAAACTCGAGTGGCAGTGTAATACATGAATTCTTCAAGAAAAGGGCCCTATTTTCAAGGCAACATAACTACAAGAGCAGTCAACCATCTAATCATTTGGTGTTTCTTGACATTGGAATTCACTTTGCCAAATGCATGGTAAGGAGGTGGGAGAAGATGCGCAATCAGGCAGGATATTCTTTCAAATGACGAAACGCAAAGCATATTTTTTGTATTTTGGTTAAATATGTGTCTTCTACTTTAATTTGTTTGTTAGTTTGTTTTTCTGTTAATCAGCAGATTTAAAATTATACTACTAGTCCGAGTTATTAGAAGGGTTTAGCAAAAGCAAGGAAGAACAAAAGCAATTTTGGAGTAAATGGACCAGTTCCACATACCTTGCTGGATGACTGTTTCCCCTGCGATGTGGGTGACTGGGAACATGGCATCAAATATGTCACTGAAGGAGAGACAGACAGAGTGTGGAGGAAGAAAAGAGAACACAGTTAATACCAACATACCTGCTATTATGGAGATTACACCACAGTCCCTGAGCATTGTTAACTTACTCACTCACACACAACAGTATGTGTGGAAGAAGAGTGGTATGATGGGAAAGGCAGAGAAGCCATCGTCCCTGTATCAACTCTATCAGCTGCTAGCATAGCTGAAGAGACAGGCCTGAGAACTCTGGATGACCCCAACGCACAAGCACACAAACGTGCACCAAACGCATCCACCTGCATGTGTACACAACTGATTCGTTCATCATCATCCACATCCAAATAAACACCCACTACTTTTCGTTAAAACAATCATAAGGAACAAATGTTTGCCAATAAGGACATATGGGTTCAAACAAACAAATCATCAAGCTCAAAACCATAAGTTCTGTAGTTTTTGGCAAAGATATTATATTATACATAATAAACTCCTCAAAAAAAGTTCGGAAACGTTATCTTGGTCGATTATTCCTCCCCTTTAATAATACCAATTGGTATTGTATTTTATATTGTTGGAAAGCCTGATTAGTCACCTTTACAACGAGGTACAACTTGTAAGGATTGTGCATTTGTGGAATGAGCAACACAGCTAACCGTGTGGGTAGCGGCCCAAACAAATGTGCCAAAATCCCCTGCAATATTCTTCTGTTGGTATTCACTCTCGTTTTGTGCTGGCAGGTGTATGCCAGTCACAGGTGTGTGACTGACACCTGATTGGCATCTAATTGTGCATGGGTCCTGCAACTTTGTTGAGTTTGTGTGTAAACATGCCACGTTTGTCCCTTCAGGATAAGGCCCGTGCAATAGGGCAACTGGAAGCTGGTGTTCCGGTACGCAGAGTGGCCGCATTATGTGGTGTCAGCCCTGGTAACATTTCCAAACTTAAGACCAAGTTCCGTGAGACTGGTGAAGTCAAAGACAGACCGCGAAGTGGCCGTCCCAGGAAGACAACACCCCCAGAAGACCGGTTCCTCACCCTTGCTTCACTGAGGAACCGTAGGCTTTCTTCCAGAGATTTACAGGCAATATTTGCACAACGGTACCACAGACAGATCTCTGATCAGACGGTGAGGAACAGACTGCACATGGCCGGTCTTCGTGCGTATAAGGCTGCCAGGAAGCCTGCAATGACTGCCCTTCGCCGTCAGGCCCGTTTGTGCTGGTGTCGACATCACCGACAGTGGAACCTAAGAATGTGGGGCAACGTCATGTTCAGTGATGAATCAAGGTTCTGTCTGCGGAAGCTGGATGGCAGGATCAAAGTATGGAGACGACGTGGAGAACGCTATGCAGATTGCTGCACAGATTGCGTGACATTTTTCAATGGGGGCAGTGTCATGGTGTGGGGCGGTATCTCTCTCACAGGCAAAATATAACTTGTCATCATTGAAGGCAATCTCAATGCAGTGCAATATCGGAATGAGATTCTGGAGCCAGTGGCGATCCCATATCTCCAGAATCTGGGACCTAACTCCATCCTCCATGATGACAACGCTCGCCCCCATAGAGCCAGGATCCAGAATTTGGGAGTGGAGAGGATGGAATGGCCTGCCGTGAGTCCAGACCACAAACCAATTGAACACTTGTGGGATCAGCTTGGGCGTGCTATACGTGCCAGAGTGACCAACGCAACCATGTTGGCTGACTTGCGACAAATCCTGGTTGAGGACTGGGATGCCATCCCACAGCAGTGTGTGACCAGGCTGGTGACCAGCGTGAGGAAGAGGTGCCAAGCTGTTGTGGCTGCGTATGGATCTTCCACATGCTACTGAGGTCCCTGACAGTGTAAAATGAATAAAGTGTAAAAATGGCCAATATGTGTTGTTTTTTCCTTATTACTGTGGGAGAGTGCAACCATCCAATCCAACAAGCAACTCAAAACCAGAGTGAATACCAACAGAAGAATATTGCAGGGGATTTTGGCACATTTATTTGGGCCGCTACCCACACGGTTAGCTGTGTTGCTCATTCCACGAGTGCACGATCCTTACAAGTTGTACCTCGTTGTAAAGGTGACTAATCAGGCTTTCCAACGATATAAAATACAATACCAATTGGTCTTATTAAAGGGGAGGAACAATCGACCGAAATAACGTTTCCAAACTTTTTTTGAGGAGTTTATATATATATATGTAGTGGTGTAAAAATAAACTTTTGTTTCAATCAAGAGATTATTACCATCAGATAAACATTGCAAAGCTGCAGGCTCGTTCTGTTTCTGTACATCGTATTAGTACTGCACGGGCGCTTAAACATGACTGTGTTGCTTCAACACATAATCAAAGCCCGTATCTCTGAGTGTATCTTTTGAAAAAGGCGCTGAGAAAACAAACAAAATGATGGCTGTGCCTAAGCACTTAAATTCTGTTTCAGCCAGGCAGGGAAAGCGCCTGTTAGACTGTTCCTAATCAGGCCGTTTAAATGCATGAAGCCTCTGCAGATTAAAGTTCCACTGCTGCGATGTGTTGAGACAAGAGAAAAGTCTGTTTCCTTCCTCTCCGCCTTTCTGCCCGTCTTTCACCTTCAGGGTATATTTATCTATCTAATCAGTTGCATACCACCCGTCTTATAGAGAAATATAGAAAAAACTATAAGAGGGTCAGGCATATCAAAGACATACAAGACCTGCTGAGTGAATGTGGAGCAAGTTTGAGCCCGTTCCCAAATGATGTTTGTGTGTGTCACTGAATGTGTGTGTTTGCACAGATTGTGTCTGTGTCTCAGTATATATTACCTCTGAAAACACACAGGTTTGTACCAAATAATGCGTGGGTTTTGAATATTTCTTGGCTCATGACAGTACACTAGACAGCAAAACACCTTGCTGCACACAACAGACATAAAAGTGTTGCTTTTCATGATTCGACCCGGTAAAGAAACGGCAGGTCAACAGATGTTAGAGAAGATCTGAGGATGTTATTGAGTGGTTTGGAAGTGAACGGACCCTGTTGGTATTTTTTTATGTGACAAGGAATAAAAAGTAGACTTAAGAAGGTGGATTTGAGCCAACAACAACCACAGGTAGGCCCAGTGCGATGCAGCTGGCCACTGACTCACACACAAAAAACACACTTTCTCTTTGAAGTGTAAAGCACAGGCTCAAAGATGCACATGCACACATGAGTTACTCTCAACACAACTTCCAATATATGCACGTGGTACTATATGGTAGCAGCTAGCATGTCAAAACACTCACACACACTTGGTAACACAACAACCTTACATTACATTACATTGCATTTAGCTGACGCTTTTATCCAAAGCGACTTACAATAAGTGCATTCGACCAAGAAGAATAAATGAAAAACAGGTATGAAATACTATATGACAGTAAAAAAAGAATAAAGTTTAAAAGGGTGATTTGTAAAATATCCATAAAGAAAAAGTAAATCTGTTTACAGTTCTGTTTCATATGGGTGTTGTTGAGAGATGTATCCATAGATCTCTTCATTTTGCTCTCAAAGTGCACCAGATTGATGCTTTTAACTTCAATATTTAAAAATAAATCTTCCCGGGGGAGCTTGCCCCCGCACCCCCCTATGTGAGGTCCACACACCACCTGTAAAAATAGCACTTGCCCCTGCTTACACCTATATGCCGTGAGCTGATTATCGAGCCTTCATTGCAACAGTCGCGGGTACACTGTGTATATGCGTGGGGATTGTTGCAGTAGAAAATTCCACTGTAGCGACCGGTACATTAATGGGAAACCCTAAATGTTTGAGCACCCTCTGTGAAACGTCAAGCTACCCCACAGCACCCCCAAAATAAATCTCTGGCGCCGCCACTGAGCCTGACTTGTGTTGGGGGGGGCCCGACTTTTTTTTTTCTCCAAAGGGGGGGCCTGACAGAAAAAGTTTGAGAACCGCTCATTCCACCGTTTTGGAGCCAGGATAGCAAACCGACGTGTTTTTGCTGATGGGAACTTTGGTCCCCCTCGCAGTGCTGGTGCAGCGAGCCGTTTGGCCGATGCAGAGCGGAGTGCACGTGCTGGGGTGTACAGTTTAACCATGTCCTGGATGTAGGAAGGGCCAGATCCATTCGCAGCATGGTACGCAAGTACCATTGCCTTGAAGTGGATTCTAGCAGTTACTGGAAGCCAGTGAAGTGAGCGGAGGAGCGGCGTGGTGTGGGAACATTTTGGAAGGCTCAACATATTTGAGCACAGGCATTCATGAGGAAAACATGCAAACTGGCACTCTCATATGACAAACAAACACATTGGCTTTGATGGGGATTAGTCAGGGCAACATCTGCAAGAGTCTCTCAACTCTCCTCACATCTGTGACCACCTGCTCTCTGCATGGAGTCTGTTTAGTCAGGGACATGGTCACGTAACTAATAATGTGTAGAAAATCAGCATGTTTCAATGCTATCTAACTCAAGACAGCTTGTTATTAGGCATGAGCTATTGTTGATGATACTGTTGATGATGATCATCACGCACTAAGTAGGATGCTCACCCTCCCTCTGACAAGAGTGAATACTGTTTGTATTCAGAATCACAGCTAAACGAAGCTCCCTTCTCTTATGGTGTAGCTAAATAACTACATGAATAAAACATGAACATGGTCTCCAAGGCAAGATGTCACCCAAAGGACTTTGAAGAGCCGTTAGGAAGATCAAAGTGAGCAGCTTTGGTCACCGCCATCTTGGCAGTAATGCCACCCTCTAACTCCCAGCTTTCCAAAATATGGGCAATGTTGGATGAGGCGGGCCAGAGTGGTGGCGCAGCTGTTAGTATGAATAGTATAAAAATGTACCACCCGCACAAGCTGTAGAGTTTACTGCTTTCTAAGGTAGAAAAGGGTTTAATTAATCTTGGATACAATGTTGTTAATATCTGTAAGACAATGTTAAATGTCACCTAGTAAATGTTTGCATGACTGACACAGAATGGCATTGCACGTGGTCAGTACTGTTGGCAGCTGGTTCAGTCAGTATCAGTGCAGACTTG